TTATCATTTCATTGTACTGCCCATAAGACATGTGTTGAGGTCATTTATCTTAGGCTTTCCACAGACAATAACCAGTAATTAAAAAAAAAAAAAAATTTCTTCACGCAAGCCATTTTTTTTAGATTCTGTTACATGTCTGTGGAATTGTTTTTCAAAGAACTTATGCTCTCTTTTTTTACTTTGCAAAGGTTAGAATGTGCAACAGGAAAGGGTGATAAATTCTGATTTAAGTAGTTGATACCCTATTAACGTTTGTCAGAACTGAAGGATGATAAGCATTGCACCAAGCCTTGTTTCAGCAATTCTTAGCATGCTTTATTAATTTAAATACAGTTCTTTGATGTAGCATGCCATGAAATCTCTTCCCTGTTTACCCTAGTTCATTCTATGCTTTCAAGTTGCTCAGGGGAAGTGACATCCTCTTCACAGTCCTCTTAAAAACTATTTTTTGTGGGGTGCTATTTAATAACACTTTCCTACCTTGGACTGATTATCAGTCAGAAATTGCTGCTTTCTGACATGTTAAGGAACACATTCCCTCAACTGTCTAGTTTTCAAGACACTGAAATAGTATTACTCTCCTTGAATGTTATACCTGCTTCAAATATCTACAGATTTGCACATGCCCTCTAAAGCATCAGATCTTGCTATGCAGCCCTATAAGGCACTCACTTATAGATTGCAAGTCACCAGGGCCTGAATCTGTAAATGACTCCTGTTGTTGCAGTGGCATAAATAATAATTCCTGCTTTTAAGCTGCATTATCAAGAATTTTTACTTAATTTTTTTTTTGCCCCACAGAAGAGACAAACCTATGGTCATGACGATGGTCTTTGTAATGACTTTCATTCAGCTTCTGGACTGCTTGGACCTGATCACATGCCATTGCTCTCAATTTCACAATCAGTGTAAATTACACTATCCAGATCTAACTAATACCACTGTGCTTGATCCTTTAGATACTGACAGTCAAGCACTACAGTCACAGGATTTTTCATACTGGTTTGGGAAATCCTTTTACAAAGCAGAAGATGTTCACTCCCATTAGTGAATTCTTTAAATGAGCCCCTTAAAATCAGCTAGTTCACAGAGAGCATTGATACAAAGCAACCTTGCCTGCTGTGTCTCAAATCATATTGCTTTCTCCTGTGGATTCAATATCCCAGAGGAATTTCTTTTGAAATAGACTGTGCATTTCTGCCTGATCTCCCTCATATAAATCATTCTGGTATGTTGGTGTGCTAATTTGGGAAAATTACAGAGACTATATCAAAAGGAATATAAAAATATGAACCTTTTTCTACACCTGCTACACTGATTGTAGCCACTGTTGTAAGCTTCCAAATGGTTGATGTGCATACAGAGAGAATATGAGACCAGACCCATTGGCCTAAGAAGCTTTCAAAAAATTATGATAATAATAAGTTAGAAAACTGATGTGATGAAGCCTAGAGACTAAAAAAAAAAAAATAAAAAATACACCTATTAATGGATTGTGGCCAAAAGAGTATTGCCAGAAAGTTCAGCATAAATCTGTAACACTATTCAAGCTCAGAATTAGTTTTTAACACTGCCAGTAGTTCTTGGAGGGAGATGAAGAAGGAGAAACAATAGCTATTTCAGTATGTCCTCTGGCTCAGATTGCCTGATTTCAGAATCCAGTACTATTCCCAAAAATTCCAGTTTTCCTATTCTGGCATAATTTTTAAATACTTGTAGAAATCAGTGAAGAAGCTCTTAAATTTAGGAGAGATGTGATTTGCTACGGAGAACTGAATGAGTCTTTATAATTTTTTTTGTAAATAATGTGGAAATTGTCACAAGTATTCTTAAATTCCCAGAAGCCATGGAAAATGTTGACTAGTGATGTCAAAAGTGTATTGGACTGAAAAGTCATCTACACCATCAGGTTTTGTTTGTGGGACATGACAGCTGAACTAGTATTTACATCTTAATGACCGGTTTGAATTTCGTGGTACTTAGAGAATCGTTCAGTTTTGTCTGTTGTTTTGCGGTGGGTTTTTTGTTTTAATGTTTTGTTAACAATTTTAGGTGTCCCAAAAGAGAGAACTTTAACAAGGTACCATTACTCAGAGGCAAAAAGCTTGACTTTTTTCTTTTTGTCCCTTCCAAATAATGTCAATTTTTGGGTAAAGTGAAAGGATTAGTAAAGACTAAGAAGTAATCAATAATGGTTATATTTGCATAAACTGAATTAATGGTGAGTCCTTAGATTATTTTTTTTTCCATGTTTGAGTGCTAATGTCAAAAGTTATGTTCCAAATTTGCTATTTATATTAGTGGAAGGAAGCTAAAGCCAGTAATTAGTAGTAGTTGATACCATACATCATGCATGATTGATTATTCTTCTGCATTAAATTTATACTTTCCCATCTCACAAGGTTTCACTAGAACTACTTCTGACTTGTACTAGGGCAAATGAGAGAAAAATTAAGCCAATAGATGAGATCCTGTATTTTCATATCTCTCTGCCAGCAGAAAAGCCAGCAGAAGATGTTGCCTGACAAAAACTCTCAAAGAAAGAAAAACTGTTGTCTACAGGAAAGCATAGTACCCCTGGGAACAAGAGGGCATAGCTGAAGATTAATAAATATTTTAAATCTATGTGAAGGGGCATTACTTTTTTAAGAGAACCAGCACTGATACGAAGAGCTGTATATCAGTAGTGTGCAAGCTGTCAGGATTGTGCCCAAGAAAACCCTAGGGAAGGAGAAGCAGTGTTCACTGAGGAAATGCTGTATCTTTTTAAAAAGTTGAATCAGTTTTCTGACAGATGCAACTTCTTGGCTTACGTCATAGTTTATTTTCTGAGTTTTGTCACATAGTGCAAAGTCATACTAATTGTATGGCAAAACACACACAACTGATAAAACAATGCAAGATCTTAGACAACTTTGTAATAATAAGTCTAGATAGGTAACTGAATAAAGTAATTACCTTTTAAGATTTTCTTTTCTACCAATGTAGAATACTTGAGCACCTGTTAGAGAACATTCAGGGATCTGTTGGAGAAATACTTCAGTTATAATGGATTTCAAATTAAAGCTTTTGAATAGCAAGTTAGCCTTTTAGCTCTGTTAGCATTTTGATAGCAGTTGGCTGTAACTTCAGAACTGAAGTACGAAAAATCTGAATATATTCTTTTATTACTTTGTTACAAGCTGTGGGATAATATTCAGGGCATCATTCTTTTGGAAGTACACAACGGCAATAGAATCTGGAACTGAGCTTGGTAAGATTTAAGATAGTCTTAAAAAAAAAAAAAAAAGTTGCTGTTTCACAAGAATATGTTGGCTTCTGTTTAGCAGAGTACCATTTCTTCTTATTTGCTGTGAGAAGATAGGTACCCTTTGTGATTTGTCCAGACATTTTGGGGATGCATGGACATGATTCGGAAGAAAATTTGTCACAACTTTGGAGATTTGGAGAACATATGTTCTTATCTCCAACACACACATTTCTCACGCTGAACTTGGAGGGTTTTATTTCATCTTAAGTAAACAACAGTTGCAGGTATAATATTTTGTACAATAATGAGTAGTAGCATCATTCTCCCGGACTGTCTTTTTAGAAGGGGTGGGGATTGTATGTGTGTAAGCAGAGGATAAATTTATCAAAAAACATCAAGAACACTGCATTCAGTATATCTTCACCCAGTTTAAAATGAAAAGAGTTTTGTGTCCTCTCCTCAAATGCAGACTAGATATGAGAATTGAATCCGTCAGTTTTCTTGCTGGACCAGGTTTTCATGTTGTCTTCTGTATGTGTGTATGTTTGCACATGTATCTATGTTTGTGCAGATACATATATTCATGTATTTGTTACTGAAATGTGTACATAATACTTCCAGGACAAATTGGAAATAATTCTGCTGTATTTCTTTGGTAGTTCTGAAAACTTCAAGTATTCAGGAGGGTGATGGATTTATTAGGGATTATTTCCTATTAGCAACTCCCAATTTTAGACATTGCTTTTTTTAAGACTCTCCATAATTTATAGCACAGATTGAAATTAGAGACAACTTTTAATAATCCTGCTTTTATTTTTCAGTAGTAACTTCTGTTACCTTTGTGGTAACATTAAGAACTTTTAAAATCAGTAACTCTGAAAGGCAAATTCTTTCCCTCCTTCCCATTCTCTCAGCTACCATCAACGTGTAAATCTGTCATGTTGGTTAACTAGTCAGCATTTTAAAAGCATGTTTTATATACTCTGATTGTACCTGAAAAATTAGAAGCTTTCTTTAATATGAGCTTTATTAAATACAAATTTGATTGTGAATGCTTCATCCATTTCATTTAAATAATACTGGATTGGAGTAAGTATAGTCTGAAAATGGCCCATATGTATATTTTATTAATTCTTTTTCTGTCATAATATCATATTTAGCACTGTTTGTCGTTTTTAGAACATGCTGTAAGATCAGTCATTCATAATTTACTTAGTACTCTTACTTATTCTCACCCTTTCAGAGTTTACTGTAAGGTCTTCCCAATAAATAAACATTACTGTTTGCTTCCTACACCACCACTAAGTTCATTCACATGAATACAGATTTTGGTAAAATACCCATCTTCAAATATTTTTGGGGTTTTACTGTCTTTTCTCTATATTGTCCAAGTGTCCCAAGTTCAGTTGCTAATGAATGGTTCAGCTGGTAGAATGGATGGTAGATACTCTGTTTAACAGTGTCTTTTAGCATGAAAGGGAAATAATATGTTGATCCATGTTGAGGTCTATATACTGTCCATTAAAAAGTGGTTTATTCCGTTCTTCTTCGTTTCTGGAACTCCCTATAATGGTTGTCTCCTTTTTCTGTCTTCCCAACATTCTTCATGGTACTTGATTTTTTCAAATTGCATATACATGTTGGTGTTATGGCTAATATAAAAAAGTATTTCTGTTAATGATGTTCACTTATATTCACTATCTGCAAACATAGAAAATTAAATTTTACTGTTTTGGTTGTTTTTAATTAGGCTCATGCACAATTAGTTCGAGAAGTTGATGTAGAGAAGGTGTCAACTTTTGAGAACCCCTATGTAGATGCAATAAGAAGCTTATGGAATGACCCTGGAATTCAGGAGTGTTATGACAGACGACGGGAGTATCAGTTATCAGATTCAACAAAATAGTAAGTACATGGTGGCTACAAACAACTAAATATAATCTTCTGGTTTGAACAAAGCAATTTTGAATTTTTACCTTCTTATACTGTATGTCTGTACATTTTTATGCATATGTAGCAGAAACATACTTGAATATACACTTGATAAACTGAATTCAGGGAATACTTCAAGGAGTAGAGTACTTCCAGTTTAGGATGATACCTGGTTTTGTTTCACCAAATGACAGTCTGTGATCATTTGAAGTCCTAAAGTAAGTTTCCAATTAGGGATAGTTAATCACTGGTGGTTTAGTTTTATTTTTTCATACCTGTTCAAGCCCTTACTCTCCTGACATACATTCACAAATGCAAGCTGGACGAAAATACTCTCATGTAGTATGACAGTAGTGAATACTGGGAAGTGCAGCCAAAGTAGACCTCCATACTCTTCATAAAATTGTAATGCCTCAGGACTCCAGTTTTTTTCAGGTTTTCCCCTTTTCTCTCACATACTGCTTTTCCAGCCCTGGTGGTGAGGTAAATAGTACTAAGCCAGAGTTCTTGTGTTTCATTGAACTGGTTTCTTTTATGAAAACAAGGCTTAAACTTTAAAGAACATTGCTGCCAGGAAGACAACAGGAAAAGCACTTTAACAAACCCTGTTTGTTACAGATCAACAATGAAAATGTGTATGTGGCTAAACTATGTCTGAAATGTTATGCCTTTAGTTTCTTGGGGCAGGAATCTGATAAAATAGTTCTGTGAAATTTAACATTGAAATCTGAGGACTGACTAAAGATTGACTCCATGAAATTCAGTTACTCTTGAGTAATGTAGCATACAGCTCAGATAAAATTTCTTGTCTGTTGTCAAAGAAATGGATGGTGGGAAGGCATGATGCTTTTTGATGTTGACCAATGTAAAAAATACAGCATAGTTATTTATTAAAACTGTGGCAAAAGCCTCCATGGTCTCCACATGAGTTTTTGTATTAGCTGTGAGAATTACTCTGACTATATCATTCCAGTCTTCATTTGCCAGGTGTATGTGAATGGAAACCTCTTGTTGTGGAAATCACAGAAGAACAGAAAGGCCCCATGAAGCTCTCATTAAGCTTATTGGAACAGGGCTATAGACATGAGAGGTCTGGGACGACATTTATCTGCATAGTAGTCTGAGGATTCTTGTCTAGCACAAAACTTTTTTGTGTTGACTAGATCACATACATAATTAGGTTTTTGCTGGTGCAATTTAGGCAGCTGAAGAGCCACAGATGCATGGTGTAGGTCTCCTCAGATTTGCGCTGACACTGTCACCACACTATGTTGTCCTTCTGCTATATTTGCATGCATAGGGTTCCTGTTGTCCTATGAAGTTTGTTGTCCTGTGGAGGTGGTTAGCTTCCTACCTATCACTTTTACCATTAGTATATGCAGATTTTGGTGCAGAGTGGTGTAAAGCACAGTAGCATCTCTCTTGTGTTGTTTGGATTCTCACTGTCCCCAAAGATACCATACTGTGTTTCACTTTTTAGTGGTAAGAAAACAAATAGAATATTACATAAAGTAAAAAACTTCAGGGTGTGTAAATGGTGAGAAGAAAATTTCAGAGACGTTACTGACAATATACTTTCATATTGTTTCCATACTGAAATAAGCAACAAGTATCAGTAGAAGGTGAAGCAGAGCTTGTCTTACACTTTGAATTTCTTATATTTATAGGTCCTACCTTTGTTTTCACAACAGATGTGATACTGTTTTTAAAGTTGAAATAAATGTATGTATTTTGTGTGCTTGCCTTAGTAGATAAAATAGAATTACTTACTCTCAAAAGTAGGAAATAATCATCTAATGCTGCTTCAGATCACATTGTGCTGAATACCATAGTTTTGATCTAATTTTAATGAAATTGTCACCATAATGGATCTTTTGAGTAGTATTAAAAATAGTACGGAATAATTGATTAAGTAGCTATAGAAGCAAATTACCAGTACATTGCCTAGTAAAAGGTAAATATGCTAGTTGATTATTTTTTCAAGCTTGACATGTTTAGCAATTTAACACAAGTTTTTGCAGATTTGGTGACTATTATAGTTCATACTGTGGATTTCCGCAAAATTTGTTGTTTTAAAACAGAATTGTGAATACTCTATATGAGTCTTTTGAAAAGCCTCACTTATTTATGCTTGCAAGTAGAGTTTTTTCAGGTATGTAAGTCAGTAAAAGCAATTAGCAGAAGCCAAGGAAACGTTGTTTCAAAAATACAGTGTGTATGTTTAGCAATAAAACACCTAAAGAGAACTTACTAATTTTAAATCCCTGTCACAAAGCAAGAAAACAAAATGCTTACTGCTGGATTCACAGGGCAGTAAAGACAGAAGTAAGCACCCAGTGCCCACTGTCTTGGTGAGTCTTAGTAATTTCTTCTGACTTGATGTATAAAGCAAAATGGTTTGTTGTTCACCAAATCTCCTGTAAGCATGTATGTCAATGTTTTTAAGCATATGTGTTAATGTCACACATGTTCTTCATTCATCCCTTGCATGAGCCTCTCATCTTCTCAGTAGTTTTCCCTTGTGTTTTATAGTAGTAGTATTTTCAGTTTGTTCCCTGTATGGCTTTATTTTACTCATCAATGTTATTACGCATTGTTTTCCTAAATCTCTTCCTCTATATTTTCTGTTTCTAAATTTTGTTTCTGGTTGCTAATATATTCTGTATGTTTCAATACCTTCACTTTGTCTTTTGACCTTCTTTGTCATTGTTAGCTACACTTTTGATGTTTTTCTATCCACTGTTAGTACCCTGGAAGAATACATCAGATGTGTGATTACCAGAAGAGTTGAGGGTAGGGTCTAAATTTTCTGCGTCATGGAAATTGATTGGAACCTCTTGGAGGCTTAGCAAATGCATTCTATTGTCTTTCCTAGCCATTGGATGCTCCAACAGTTTTGTGTTCATGTTGTTTTTAAAAGCAATTTCTAGACTTCTCTGTGGTAAAACACATCGGGTAAATAGAGATCATTCACTTCCTATATACATCATGGGATGACTTAGCCTATTACCACTAAACCACGTAGCTTTAATAATATTCACAGTGTGAGACAGATGTAGATCAACACCGCATTTTGGATTGCCTTAAGTAATAGCTGTGTGAGATGAAATCATTTGATATGTATTGTGCATGGTGTCAAGACCTCAACCCAAATGTAAACAGGTTACCAGCCAACAGTCTGATGATCTATCATGGCTTTTCAGAGCCTGAAGAAAGGAGAGACAACAGTCTTACTTGTCTTTCTTGTTGTCAGTAAGACAGTTTTCATAAGTAACATCTCACATTTACATGACAACTTACAGAATTTGGGTAGGCAACTAGAATTTATGGAGAATCATCAGCATTTTCCCCCAATATGACACTAAGGGCTTTCTCTTCATGAAGAAAAAGCAGGAAGTGTTTCGAACTAGAAAGTGCTCCGGAGCCTTGCTGAAAAACTTTGTGTTTCTGTGGCCCCATGAAATTGAAATATTATGTCATTGTGTACCTGGGACCAAGGACTTTCTAGTTGCTACACAAGCACTGAGGATAGCTGTTCAGTTTCCATTCTATGGCTGCGTTTTCAGACACTTAAGATAATTAATCCTCCCTCAAGTTCCTACCCTCACTGTGTTAGCTATGTCAGTGGGTATCACTGACACCTGTGATCATGTGAGTTGAATTAACTGGACAGTTAGTACAGAAATGCAGATTCCAGTATTTTACCACGTAATAATTGCTCCAGGGTGTGACTCTGAGGACATCTTTAGAATATCACTGATTATCAGGGAAGAAAGAGGTGAATCGTAATGTCTGCTCATTAAAGTCCATGGTTCACCTTTTGTGAAACCATTGCGTGAATTGTAATGCTTTGGTCAACTAGTAATTTTTGTATTCCATTTGAGTATAAAGTTTTTCATAACTTCAGCTGAACAATTAATTTATTTATACCTCTCTTAAAAATAACATTTTTGCTTCCCTGTTCCACTTCTGAAACAAGAGTATTTCAGTGGAATTACTGTGTGCTAAATAGGATGTTCTTAGGGGCACACAGGGGGGAAAGATCAATGTATGAATCTTATGCTTATAGCAGTTTACTCCATTTGCTGATATTGTCTCTAGCCATGAGAACATTGATTCTTTTATTTCTAAAGCTGTAGGAAATTGTTAGGGCATCATGGATCTGTGTGAGCCTTTCGGGACAAATATTGTCCTAAACTGAGACCTTCTATGTGGCTGACACTGATGTAGCAAATTATGAACAACTGTCTATGTGGTATCTGTGTAACAGTCATTTGTTAGGGGTGAGAAAACCGAATACTCTTAATTTTTAAGATACATAAGCACATCCTTATTTAATAAACATTTTAATACTGTTGATTGATTCTTCCTTTCATTTGTAAAAATGTACTTGGAGGTTCTAAAGCTATATTGAGGGGCAATTTGTGTTGAAGAATGGTAGATTCTGCTTTTATGTGTTCACAGTTTACACAGTCTTACTTGTGTAAGGTTTGCAGTAAGATAAAAACGGGAAATAAAAATGAAAGTCTGAAGATTAAAATCAAGTACTAGCAGGAGAACTATGCTAACCCAACTTACGCCTTAAGTATAGTCCCTAAATATAAAAGGAAGATCTGAAGAAAGATGGGAAATGGAATCGACTGCATATCAAAGCACTGCATCCTATAGAAAAATTGAAGATTATGCAACAAAACCAGGGAAATTCAGAAGGGGAAGTGAGATTATATAAAACAGTATGCAGCATGTATTTCTTTCAGGATCCTTTTTTTCATACAGTACTGAACTTGTTTTTGATAGCTGTATAATTTTTAAACCACATTTTCTATTAAGAAAAGTTTGCACAAGCATTTTTTCATTTGATTGACTTCCTTTTTTTAGCCTTTGCTAAGGTTGACTTTTAGCCATGTAGGAAATTGAAGGAGACAGCTAGGTAGGATTTGGGTGGGGTAAGGATAAAAAGAACACAGTGCAGA